CGATTATGGTACATTATTGAATGCATTTTTCAGATGCATATCTTATGGTAATGGCACCATTGGGTGCTCTTTCAAGCATCATAGTACTGCCCCTTGTGGCTACCTTCTCCAAACAGGTGAAGGTATATTCACCTTTCTTCCTATAACATATATACTTTCTGTTCGATTTTCTTCGTTTTTGTTTCTATTAATGATTTATTTAACTATGGCAGACATCATCATGGGATCGCTTAGTGGACAATTTAGAAAGAGCACTGCTCCTTAGCATGGTAGGTTATTGACAATGTTTAACTCTACATTGTCGACATAATTACGTTTAGAAACTTTGTCACCACTTCCGCCACATGTTGGATTAAAAGCATATAAAATTTTGGGATCCTTGGTAATATATTAAAATGAAGTTTCACTAACAAACATGCAAAAGTAAGAAATAACTTGATAATTTGTATATGTTTTCCTATGATGCAGGTGCTTCTCTTGCCTATTTTTTCTGTTATGCGTGTCTTAGCAGAGCCAATTATCCATGTCTTGTTCCAACGTTTTGCATTCGATTCTTCAGCTAGCGCTCTAGTATCTGATCTCTTCCTTGCTTGTGCGTATAAAAATAACTCTCTCTCTCTCTCTCTCTCTCTCTCTCTCTCTCTCTCTCTCTCTCTCTCTCTCTCTCTCACACACACACACACACACACACACACACACACAAGGCTATTTTCTATAAATCTTTCAGTAACACAGGCTAATTCACGCAGATTCTCTTGGTGCACCTTTCTTCATCACTAAAGACTTACTAGTTGCAGCTTTTTACGCCCTCGGAGATGGTAAGGGACCTTTCCTAGTCAGCGCAGGTGCCGTTGCTTTAAACGCCCTTTTGGATTGGCTTTCAGTTTCCAGATTTAACCTCGGAGCAAAGGGACTGGTAACGTTTTCATATCTGCTCCATCGAAAGATTAAATGGAAAAAAGTTTTAATTCTATAATGATATAAATATCCATTTATTCAGGCACTTTCGACATCGTTTACAGCTGCTGCATCCACTTTCATTTTATTCCATCTCCTCAAGAGAAAACTTCCAGGTACAAAAAAAAAAAAAGAAAAAAAGAAAATCCTTACGAAACATCCCATGAAATATAAACGTGCAGCCATTAATTATTATGTTAATAAACGTGTCTCAGGAATAGCAAATTATGCTGATATCTTCTATCCTACTACGCTGCTATAATTTTGCTGCGTTATTTCGAGCCTCGCCACATCTGCTACTTACAAATTGATGTGCCAGCTGTTGTCTTCTTCAACCTTCCTCTCAAGGTCTGCTCTTTTCGTATTAAATATAATTCTTTATACCATTTTTTTTAATTTTTAATTTTATTTTAGCATCGATCTTTTTTTATCATAGGCACCATTTGATGAAAGCACTCGTGACTGCATCAATAGCAGGATGCCTTGGAATTGTCGGCTTCTTTGTTCCTGTCATCGTCCTACACTTGTCTGGATTTAAGATTGTAAGAGATTTGTATAGGATGCTTATTAAACAGCAATCTTTCCAACCAATGGCTAAATCACAGACCCTCTGACGAGAATTTGTGAATATTCATTCTGGTTTCCATCGAAGAAACTCGTGCGATTGTATAGATAAGAGCAGTGGACAAATTAACTTGTAATACAACTAGCTTGGTAAGAACTGTCTATAGATCTTGCATTAATGTAACATTCCCGCAAAAAAATAAATTATTCAAAAAACATGAATTGAGAGAGAAAATCGATACAAAGTACACAAAGATCTCGATATGGCGTCCTTTTACGTACTTTCTACACTAAGAAGTATTACAAGGCGAAAATTCTGATTCCACCGCCTAGCGGCGCTTGTATATACAAGGTTTCAACTCAGGCCACTTAATGTTTTTCGATTTCTGTTTCTCCTGCATAGAGTAAACAAAAGATCTTTTTAATTACAATCTTCTTTTAGCAATACTCGGAAAGTATAGACGGTGTAATAAATAGCATCAAACGAACCTTTTTCTGAAAGTAGAAGAGTATAAACATTTTATTCGAGAAGTCCTGTAAGAACAAGAAACCATTTAGTAATGTAATATATAAAGGCGACCGCAATTCCAACGATGAAATAGCGAATAAAATGTATAGAACCTTCGATTTTGCGATAAACCCTAGTTCGCATATGGCTTTCACAAAGTCATTCGGGTCTGCTCCTCCAGTCGTTGGATCGAGCCTGCTTTTCACTTCCGCTATTAAAAGCCACCCACTGCAAATAAAATTTTTTTCATTAATTACAAAATCGTAAAATAAACAATTTATTTTTTAGCTTTAAAAATATTCAGACAAAATATGAAATACATACTTAGGCTTAAGAACCCGATTTGCTTCCTGAAGATAACTGGGGAAGTTTGTCCCCATTAGTGAAAGGCAAAAGACAGCCACATCCACCGAGGAGGAAACGAGGGGCGTCTGCATTTTACAGACAATAGTAGAATTAATTAATTATTTATTTATATAACTATATATTATTTTTTTATTTGGCCTTCTAGTTACGAATTTCAAGAGCAGAGAGAATAAGAGGAGACGTACTTTCGACATATCACATGCAACTACAGAAGGATTATTCGAGACAAGATCAAACGAGAAAACTTTATTCTTCACACTTTTAGCAAGCCGCGCATCCCCTGAATAAAATTTAGAAAAAAAAAATTAATTTCAACATAATTATGCAGAGAGTGGTATTTATTTATTGATTTATTCATACAATGCCTGAAAGATTCTTACCACAACCGAAATCAGCAACAACTAAAGAAGGGCTGCGACCTTTTATCCATTTTATGATAATATCATTCGGCTGCTCAGGCCAACCCGACATTTGCACTTGGTACCCTGAATGATACTGGTAATATAAAAGTGAATATAAGTCGAACTCGTTTAGTAGAATACGAAAAAAAAAATGGATAACAAGAAATTCTTATAACTATATACGGCCACTATTGTGTTCTTACACGTTTTGTCCGTACAAAATTCAAGACAACTTCTTTCGATGATGGAACTACACACCAATTCGGCTACATTCATACACTAAATAATAATCTAGCTTTGTAATTCGTTACATAGGATTTACTCAATAGTCAGCTAAAACGAACTAACACAAGATCGAAAAAAGGACGTACCAAATCGAACAATGACGGATTCTCGTTAAAATACTTCAAGGCCTCATCTCCACTGTGTAAACAAACAAACAAACAAACAAAAAAAAAGAATCTTTACAAAAATATCATAGCATAAATAAACACAATTGATAATTATACCTTGTAAATGAAAGCATAAATTAATAATAATTAATAAATAAAAAGGATTGGAGGAAAGAATGAATTGTAATTATACCTGCAGGTATAGAGCTTCTCGTTGAGCATGCGGAAGTGACCTCCCGATAATCTAGCTTTCATCTGCTCATAACAATTTATTTTTATATAAAAATTAAAATACAATCAACAAAATGAACCTAATTTTCATACTAGGGCAAAAAGTTAATTAAATAAATTTGCTCGTACTTTGTCCATGAAAGATGCTGAGGATTTTGAGCCACTCTTAATTGCAGATGAAGATGCTGCGGCGGCGGCGGCAACAGAAGAAGATTCATCATTCGGCACGGCGTCGCCGCCGGGTACAGTCTTCCCTTTGTGACGGCGCCCCCTTTTTCTCTTCTTACCCCGCTGCTGCTCCTCCGTCATTATTTCTTAATTATTTTTTGCTTAATTTTCAGCGCTCGAAAATCGGTATCAGAAGGAAGAGGGCAAACTTTCGGAAAAAGGCCATTTTTTTTGTCTCATGGCCCAATTAACTATTGGGCTTTAAGCTAATTATTTGAGCTTTAATTATTGGGTAAATTACGTGCCACCCCTGAAATAAGGTTAAATTATGAAAAAATCCCTCATGTTTGGGTAATTACAACCACCTATCAACTATGAATTTTCTTACACATTCACCTTTGCAGTGTCAAATTTAGTGGGAGCTTTTAAATTATGTGGAATATTTTCCAGTTTGTACCCAGTTTACCCCATTCGAGATCCACATTTTAAAATAAGAGGAATATAAGATGTGTTTTTTAGCTTATATATACCAGATTGTGGTGCATCAAAAACGCATTTTTGCACAAAACGACTACAAACTAGAGAATATTCCACGAATCTAGAATTTTCTGTTGAATTTGATACCATAAGTGTGGACGTGTAAGAACATTCACATTTGAGGGGGTTGGTTGTAATTTTCCAAACGTGAGAGATTTTTTCATAATTTGACCTTACCTCAAGGGTGTGACTGTACTTTACCGTTAATAATTTGATTTAAATGTATGTAAAATCTCGAATATTTGTAGCCGTATGGCCCGTATCTAGATTTGAGTTTTCATTTACTAGCTAGAAAAATATTTAAATTGCACATGCATTATAGCTATTTTACTTTAAGTACCACAATTTTAAGAAACATAAGTATTATAGTAGTGCAATAAAATTCAAAAATAAAAATAAAAAGTTAGGTACTAAATGATTTAGGGGGATAAATATTATCTTTGCAAATCTAAAGGGATATTAAATGAGACTAAATTAAAGTTTAGGTGACAAAAACATGAATATATGGTTTCATATGGCAGCAGATGCATCAAAAATCAGCCCATATAACCCCACATATATACACCACTCAAATCAATAAAACGCTAAGCGAAAAACACGCTTTTTATGCAGAACCCCCCAAAAAGAAAAAAAAAAAAAAAAAAAAAAAAAAAAAAACCTAATAAAACATCATCAAGAAAAATCCTAGGAAATAACAGAACTTCCAATTTAAGTTAAGCAAATAGTTCAAATCAAGCTAAGCCAAGAACTTTCCTAGGATCCAATTGTCCGCTGCAATAACTCGACGACACAGTCGTCAGCTCTTGACGCCCTTTCCACTCTTCAAAGGGTTTCAACACTATCCCCGTTTCGATTGCAGCCGAATTTACGCACAACATTGTTTTGTAGTCCTCGTCTCCTAAATCCGGGATTGCTTTCGCTTTTTTGTCCCAAGGGTTCCATACAACTGCACATTATTATATCCATTTAATTTATTTAAAATGTTTTAGAAAAAAAAAAAAAATCGAAAAAATTCAAAAGTGCAAGTGAGAAGTATAGAAGTAAGCTTACCTGCATCGGGCATGCCTTCTTTGCGGAGTACATAGGTTCGTTTCTTCTCGTGATCGATTATGGCTATCTTTGTCGGTGTGGTTAAATATATCCGATCAATCTATATAGAGAAAAGGAAAACAAAAATAATCATTTCACGGAAGGAATTATTAAGAGTTTTAAATTATTATAAAAAAAAGAAAAAAAAATAATCGATTAGATACACACATTACCTCACCATCAAAAGTAATTGCATCTGCCTGCTCTGTGTACCTTTCTCTTTGCGACAAATTATCAAAGTAATCAAGTGTCTCTAAGCCCTCGACACGCACTTCACTACAAATCAAACAGAATTCCTCGTTTATATAAAATACCTAAATAATGTAGTAAAATGATTTCGAATCGACCGAGCAAGAAACATTAACTACTAACTAGTAAAAGCGACGAGGTAAACCTGATATCAGACACAGATAGGTAATTACACAAAGCAAGCGAGAACGAGAAGGCCTTGTTATCGATATTTCTCACACGAGGTATCATCGTTAGCTTGCCAGCACTCAGAGAAATACGAAGACGCAACTCAAATCTGCAAAACCGAAAGATGGATAAGAGAATTTTCTTGATTTAATATTTTCCAAAAGGGCATTATGGTCTTTTGGAGCCTGACCTATGAGGCCAAGTCTTGAGATCCTCTTCTGTGGATTTCAGAATAAGATCGACAGTTGACTGATTGTTGACCGAGGGCAAAGGCGAAGGAGAGCTGTCCAATGACCATAATCTATTCCTTGCAAATCCAGGTTGATCGAGAGTACCGTAATTCGAAAACTAAATAGGCAAACGCAACAAATAAGAATTAAATACTAAATGTGATATATTTACATTTTTGAATTTTGCTAGTTACGGTGGTTAACCTGTGGAAAGCAAATCAGTATGCCTCCCCTCAAAACCCTAGGTTGCTTCGACGCGGCCTGATGAACAACAAGAGATGCATGTTTTTTGTTATAATTATTCCGTCAATTGAATTTGGCCACTTTTATACTCTCGTAACAACATTCTTTTCCAAATCAAAATAAATTAAATTTAGCCGAAGTTCGTAAATCATAGATACCTAGACCACAGATGATGCAACAAAAACCATAAAAAACAGTCGTTTTGTTATTGCCTTAAAGACCACATACACTAATTCCTTAGTCAAGAACAATCGAATTAAGTTGATAAACGTAGGCTTAATTTTGTGTGGGAAGCATCCAGAGTTTTTTAAGAGAACTGACTATAACGAAAGCACTCATAAACACCACCATGATATCAATCATATTCATACCGTAGAACAAATAATCGAAACTCTAAGGCCTCGTTTGGTTGCCAAGATAAGATAAGATTAAATAATCTAATGAAAACACAATTAATTTATCGAACCCCGGAATGTCTAACAAAAAAAACCCTAAGAGGCGACAATAAACCATGATAACATAATGTTGGCGGATCGACCCGGCAAATTATTAGGGATACCAAACACCAAACAAAGTCCAATTATTTAGTTAATAATATAGCTAATCTCCCCAACCAAACGAGGCCTAAGCATTAAATAAGTACGCCGAACAATTTTCGAAAATCAGAGAATTAATGTGTTCACCTTGGTGCTCATGAAAAGCATCTCTTGCCTCTTTTCATTCTTCCAAGAAACAACCTGCCCACCATTCAAAAGCACCTGCCACAGCAAATTAAAAAAAAAAAAAAAAAAAGGATTATATTTCTTTTTCACCCACAAATCTGTACAGTAAACACACCAACATTTCACCCTTAAAATCATTAATTTTAAAAAAATAAACAATAAATCAACACCGAATTTACACTCTGCTACAGAAATTAATTGCAAAAAGTAAAAAATAAAAAATAAAAAATCACGAACCTCGGCAGTTGAACCAGTGGGTTCTGATAATATAATCCGAGGCAATCCATCACCGTCTTGAATTACATTAAACGGCATCATATTTTCTCCACAATTTCTGCCTCGATTCGCAATTATCTGCAATTTAAAAAAAATGAAAAAAAAAATTATAGATCAAAGAAATTGGGGGTTTCACCATTCAGGCATGCAACGTCCCATATAATTACATAAAATTAAATAATAATATTTAAAAAAATTAGAAAAAAAACAACTGAATGATTAAAACACAAACAATAAAAAATTAGGGGAAGAAAAAATCAATCGTACATTCGGCGATCAAAATGATTGAAATTAAAATTATCGGCTTCGAGTTTTGTTGAACGATGAACAACACGCCAGCAGCTTCAGCATACGCAATTTATATATATATATATATATAATAATTGAAAAAGGAAGCAAAAAATGAGATGAGATTATGAACAAAAAAAAAAAAAAAAATTGATTAGAAAATGGAATTACGTACAGGATTATAGATTTATTATTGTCATCGGATTCGTTGAGTTTTTTGATATAATAATAATAAATTAAAAAAAAAGAAAGAAAGAAAAAAAAGGAAAAAAAGTGGACCTACTTTGCTTTGGATTTGGGCCAGCAGTTGTCTTCCTTACTTTGCGATCGACCACGTCAGCATATGGGCCCGATTTTTTCGAATGATTGCCCCTCATTTAGATTTTAGGAGTGGACCGAACGTAACCTACCCTTTCTTATTTCACAATCATACGTGTGTCTTTTTTTTTCTTTTTTTTTTATAAAATAAATATCTTTTATGATATTAATAATTACATTTTTTTTATATTACTATGGTAATTTTTTATTTTTTATTTATATTAGGAGTGGATTTGAAAATTGAGTTTCCATTCAAAGCTTCCCAATTTAAGTGCTAAATATCGTTTAAATTTTACTAATATCGTTTTGGTTTTGGACCTGATTTTTACTATTATCGATTCTGATTTTCCTATTTTGGCAAAATTCAAAACAGGAAAATTGTTGTATTTTGAGTTAACTTTTCTTATCCAAGTTGATTCGGCTAGATTTGATGTTTGGTGACAAAAATTATACATGCAACACAAAATATTAAGATTGTGAGTGATTAATTGATTCATTATAATATTTATTATCTGATAATATCTGATCCTGATCCTGGTGATTTAAGTTTGATTGAATAGCTAATTAAAAGCACTACGAAATTCGTGCTTTGAGTTTTTTAAGATTCAGCATGAAATATGATCAAACTTATGTCTTTATATATATATCATAAACTATAATTATGTTTGAAGTCGTAACAACATTTATTATGTCTCATTCGGCATTCCACAACTCTAAAACAATATAATTTATTTCAAATTTGAAAAATATATTTATAATAATAGTTTTTGTATTTTTGAGAAAATATTAGAAAATTACAAACTATTTAATTCTGATCGGATCCATTTATCTTCTACCTCCCCTTAGTTATGTGTAATTCAACAAAGACCCTCGGGTTTATACACATTTTTTTGTAGTACTTATTTTCCAATTAAAAGGAGTTTAAATGTAAATTGTAGTTAGTCTTAGTCCAACCTCAAGGGAGGTTTGTAATTTTTCATATGTGAGAGGATCTATCTATAATTATAGATAACTACAGTGGAGGTCGAAATGTTTGCAATTTCACAAACGTGACGGGGTTAACTGTAACAATACATAATTTTAGTGGATGTATTTACAATTTATCATAAATAAAGAGTATAAAATGTAGATAGCAATTTCTGCAAATAAAATTTGATTGCACCACCAGAAACATATCTCATCAGTTCTCTATAGGGGTGGGCATTCGGGTCGGGTTATTCGGGTATAACCCGACCCGGTCGGGTATTACCCGACCGGATCGGGTAATTTTTTACGTAGCCGGGTTTTTCCCGGGTTCGGGTACCCGGTGATCCCAAACCGGGTCGGGTCCGGGTAATAGAAATTCTACCCGGGTACCCGATCGGGTACCCGGTTTAAAAAAAAAAATTTTTTTTTTTTTTTTTTTATATATATATAAAGATATATATATATATATATATATATATATATATATATATATATATATATATATATATATATATATATATATATATATATATATATATATATATATATATATATATATATATATATATATATATATATATATATATATATATATATATATATATATATGTGTGTGTGTATATGTATATATATATATATATATATATATTTATATATATATATATATA